GTTACGACACCGTCGGGCGAGTGTGGGTGATCGCGCGTAGTGAATTACCGTACTCAACATGTCTAAGTTCAGAGCTGTAACACCCAAAAACACACCATGACTTTATTTCATATATGGCTAGTGAAGTACAATGCAGAATGTCTAGTTGGAAACGATAATATCGTTTGATTGCTATGGTTAATAGTCATTTATTTCGTCTTATTCACCACGGGCACGATTTTGGTGAACACCTCACTTGAAGGCGGTAGTGGTTTCAAGGTGTCGTAATTCCTGGCCCACGGGGCAGCTACTGCTTCCTGAAATCGTCTATATTGACGAACAGCACCTTCTGCGAGTAATTGTTACTAACCTGATCCTTAGGTGGACGTACAAGTAATGCCGTCTTCACCATAGACTTTTCGTGATCCGACGTTTGATTTTTCGAAGCTGCAGTCACAACTGGCGATTTTGCAGCTGGTGGAGTAGCCTCTTTAGGCGGTGGTTGGACCCGTTTCTTTGGTGCGTTTTTATTCTGAGTCTTGCGTAGTAATGGAGGAGCAGGAGTTTTCTTCTGTGGCGTTCTCGGTCGAGGCGCATCTGCTTTTTCTGGTGCCTTTTGTGGAGCCTTAGTCTGGGGCGCATTTGATTTTTGAGGTGTACTGGCTTTTGGCTCAATCGCCTTCTCCACTGCTTTCTCCTGTACCTGTCGCAGTTTCTGGGGCTCGCTGACTTTCGGCTCATCCGCTTTAGCTGCTGGGCTCTCCCGTACCGGCTTCGGTTTTTGTGGCTCGCTGACTTGGGGCACCTTTCCTTTTTCTTTTTGTGGTGCCTTTTGTTCAGTACTGTCTTGCGGTTGAGGTGCTTGCGCTTTCTGTGGTGTGTCCTGCTCTTTCGGAGGCCCCGGAGGCTCGTCTTTCGGAGGTGATATTGGCAGAGCTGTTTCTAAGTTGCTCGCGAACTGAAATGGATGATTTAGATGGAGCTTTTTCTAGAAGAAGGGGCAGATCTCACTGACAAACCTCGTAGTCTCCACCGAGCTCGATTGCAGTTTTGAGAAGGGGATCCAGGTGCTGCAAATCAAAACGTCAACCTGGATAGGGAAAGGGGTGAAGGACCTAGGCAGGAATCAGTTGTGGAGTCTCGGGGGGGGGGGCCGAGATGGTATAGTGGAAAGAAGCGCTCTCGATACATGCACGACCCAGGGATCAAATGGATCGGCTTCGCCCAGGCCAACCAGGCACTCTATCCTCCCGTGGTGGTATAGAACATGGCTGGAAAGTAGTGATGCTCGAGAACCCCCTCCATACTTTATCATGCTGCCGCACGCCAGCCACCCGCCCAACCATAGCCAAACGCGCTACTTGTCTCTACCCTCTCGCTTCTAGTTATTCTGCTCATGCAGAGTAAGTGTTCCGCTGTGGAACCCTGGCTCACTGCAAGTGCTACACCTGAGATAGCGCGGGCGGATATGGAGACGGCACTCGGGTACCATCACCCTAAAACCCCGTCTTGTACATTTTCCAGCAGGGAAAGCGGCAGGCTCCTGCAGCGGAGGACCCGTTCGCCTCGCAAGGACCTTCCACGGACATGACTGTACAGTTTGTCTACAGAACCCTCAAGTCCTGCTGTCACACCACGACGACGTCCTTACACACTCCTTACTAAACCATCAAGAACAACTTACTTCTGACTCATCGTCACCCAACGTCATCTGTTCGATACGTGGAAGCCCCAGTAACTGCGGTAACTGAGGCATCTCCGGAAGCTGTGGGAGTTGTGGAAAGCGTGGAGCTTGAGTCGTCACTTTTGCGCCCATTGTTGGTGAAGAATGCTAATAGAAATGAACCACCCCTGATACTGGCATTCAAACATGGAAATGATAACATGAATATAAGAGAAGTATCAACGGTGGCTGGTTATTGGTCGGTGGTTGGCATGAAGGATAGCCTTGTGAAGGGAACAAGAAGTGGTATCTTTCCGGTGGCGATGGAAAAGGTTGCTCTCTCTATCATGTAGACGGGAGGGGCCCACCGAACCCTCGTCCTCATCACTGGCCGAGAAGGCAAAGAGGCAACGGTATTGGAATTTATGGTAATGCAGCAATGGCAAATTCGCTCGAGGGGCAAAAGGCAGGCGAAGAGATCAACGTTAACTTTGGAAAAGCCTGCCTGTCTTCTCTTACTGCCAGATTACCAAAACAACTGGTCCGTGTCACACCCATTTGAAAAAAGAGCTGGTAATACCATCTATTACAAACTCTCTCAAAGAAATAAATAGCAGGTGTGGCCATGAATAGGTGTCACAACTTCGCATATCCCAGCAGAGTGTTAGGGCGTCACTGCCAGCGCTCCATCTTGGGACAGTTGGCGAGTTGCGCTAGTATTGTGCCAGTTCGCTTTTGCTAGATTTTGCTTTCGACAGACGGTGTAAGTTATTCCATATCAGCATAAAAAAGTATGTTATTAGCCTCGAAGAAGGAGAATATCTCACTGAAAAGGGTCATGTATTGAGACAGTTCGAATTAATAGTGCGGAAAGCCACTCCCCTCGTCATGCTCCAATGATAAAAAAAGGATAAAGGATAAAGTCTTCGCCGTTGATCAATCCCTTTGTGGGATGCGGCACGCATTCTACTTCCATTCAGAATCGTAGTGGCTTATTGAATGGCCTATACAATGACTTGCGGTGGCCAGCCGATGTACAAGTCAGTATTCTTATCCAGACGAATCTGGTACCAATTTACCGTCCCCGGAGGGTAGAAGGCTTGGTTGGCCTGGGCGGGAGTCGACCCGGGATTTGAACCCAGGACCGCATGAGTGGTGAGCGGCCACTTGTCACTACACCATCTCCGCCGTATCTTCGAGATATGGCTTGTTTCCGCGCTTTCGTATTATCTCCAGTGCTCTCCTTCGTTTCTAAAGGGATTTAAAAGGGTTGAAAGATCAGCCTGGTCATACCCCTCACCACTCACAACCCCTCCTTTGCGTCTATAGTATTTAACAAGACATTTTGAGATGTCAGTGATGCAATAATCACATAGTATATGAAACGACTGCTTAAAGGGGTCTCATCAAATCAAAGGAAGAGAAGAGAAACAAATAGACGGAAAGGACGTTTGGAAGGAGCGAGGGAGATAACTAGGATGACCCTTTAATCCTTTTAGAGCGCTTTGAAAAGAAAGAGCACTCTGGAGATGACACGAGAGCGTGGAAACCCGATTTTCGACCACAGCCCGGTGTTAATCGGTGGCCTTTGAAAAATTTGAATTTCAATGAACGCATAGTAGTCTGACCGATGTTGAGTAGTTCAACACCTCACTGGATTACTGACATTTGCACTCTGGTTACTCTTAGCGAATCTCATTGTGGATTAACCCGTAAATGGCGTGAAGAGCCATCTTGACGTCCTCCATGTACGTTATCATATATGCCCCCCCCCCTTTACCACACACCAGTCGCTTTTGAAACATATTTGAGGCCGTTTCACTTCTGAAACCTTTCAAATGCATTCTAATCCAACCAATTCAGTTCAGTTTGCTACTTCCTATCGATTACACTTCTTAGAAGTCATTTTTCATGATAAGAT